CGGTTACTAACGTAACCTCGGTTCCCTGAGATACGGGAACGAGTACTGCGTCTGCTAGACGCATATGGGAAAAAAGTATTTTTCTCAAAGTATTTGGTTTGTGCAGTGTATTAAAAACGAACCAATGACTAGGCAGCGGAGCTGCACGAGCCTATGGCGACGAAGCCCGCCAAAGCCAGCCAAAGCACGAGCTCTTGACAAAATTGACCCTGAGTCCCAGACACTCCAGGTGGCTGAGGAGGAGGGTCCTGTGTGATATTAATTCTGCCTCTGACTGGGCCAGAACGAGCCAGTCGTCGAGGTAATTGAGAATGCGGATTCCCATCTGTCTCAGAGGGGCGAGAGGCACGTCCATGCACTTCGTAAAAGTGCGGGGGGCCAGGGACAGCCAGGGGAGAGAGCGAGGCACGCGGGAACTGGGCCGACGTGGGCTCGCTCGCAGCCGGTCGCTCGACCCCTCTGCCCCGTTGTTTTTTCCTCACAGGTCCCTGGGAGGAAGAAAACGGGAGGGCACGAGGGGCGGAGTCGCTCTCTGAAAAGAAAGCGATCCGTGAGCGGAGAGAGGCGAGACTGAAGCTCTCGCAGTGGGAACAAATAGCTCCCGTGAGCGCAGCTTCCGCATGGGATTTCCCCAAGCAGGAAACGCACTCGGTGTGGCCGTCATCAGCGTGCAGGGGAGACCCCGCACGAACCGCAGTAACGGTGCGGCATTTGCAACAACGCCAAGCTCTTTTAGTAAGCTCTTTTAGAATCGCCGGATGGCGGCAGGGGACTCCAGTCACACTATCCTTCAGAAATCATTCTGATATTCTAATAATAATAATTTAAAAAGGTTTCTTGAGCAGCAAATCAGTATATTAGAATACTTTCTGAAGGATGTGACACTGAAGACTGGAGTAATGATGATGAAAATTCAGCTTTGATCACAGCAATCATTTTAAAATATATTCAAATAGAAAGCAGTTATTTTAAATAGTAAAAATATTTCACATTACTGCTTTTGCTGTACTTTGGATCAAATAAATGCAGGCTTGGTGAGCAGAAGAGACTTCTTTATAAAACATTAAAAATCTTACTGTTCAAAAACTGTTGACTGGTAGGTTGTATAGATTACAGAAATGTTATATTGTAATGTTTTATATATATATATAGATATATAATTTTTTTTTTTTTTTTTTTTATATATATAGGCCTATATATAGCATTTCTGTCCCCCTCACTGCTGAAATGATGGCTACGCCCCTGGTCTAGCAGACGCAATACGAGTGTAGTATCGAAAGGGAACTAATTCATACAGGTTTGAAACAACTCGAGGGTGAGTAAATGATAACAGACTTTTCTTTTTGGGTGAACTATCCTGACTCTTTTACTGGGGCACAATGCATAAATAGAAAAAAAAGCATGTAATGAAACTTTAGTGTGTTTGAATTATTTAAAACATGAAGGATGATTCAAATACCAGCTGAAGCGAAAATATCCCGCGTATCCTTTTCAGTCATGCACGCCCCCTTCTCGTGCTTCTCCGCCCACTTTCTCTCTTCTTGCAGTCGGACGATAATTCAGAATACGCCGCTGTATCCGAAGAGTTTGAGGTAACTACCAAGCTAATGCTTATTGCTGTTAATGAGTAGTATTTGAATGTGTTTATTTCAAGACAACCTGTTTTCCAGTGACGCTGACTGGCGATTTCTGTTATCTTGTTTACTTCTAAAAGATCGAGTGCTTGAGATCTTTTTTAAAAATAGTATTGTTTGAAGCTTGTAGTGCTGATTTTGAAACAAAATGCAACTACAGAAGCGTCCTGAGAGGACACATATCTAGGCTACCTACATTACGTGAATGTTTCGAATCTTTTTTCCATTGTTCCACTGCCTTTCTGTTGTTTTTCTATTATGTAAACACGTGCTACAGGAACGTCGACGCGTCGTCGTTTGCAGCGTCAAAACGCTGTGCTCAAGTTAAAAGTTGTTACATTTTTTAAAACGCGCCTGGAGAACCTCCAAGGGTGCATCAAAGGCCTGAAAATTGACTTTTTTCTTTAAAGAGTTCTCATGGTCTTAGAAATGCTGCATACATATACTAAAAGTGTAAATCACAAAATTACTGGATAAGAGTGGGAACCCTGAAGAACATTTTGCTGTTACAACTTATGAAATCCCATTTTAATTATTTTAACTGTAAGTTGTTTTAATCTATGCATAGTCCTAGTTTATTTATTTATTTAGATGTTTATGACAGTGAATGTTTATCAAAGGCATCTGCATATAAGCAATTTAATAGAAGATCTGCATGAATTTACCTGAACTGTATACATTCAAATTAATTAATGATATGTATTTTGTTTTCATATGTGTAATCCATTTAGGCTCACTCTCACATATTCACATTTCAAGTGATTATATTTGCAACATTATACTTTTACAATACAAAGAGCACAAAAAAAATCATTGAATAAATGCTTATCGTGCCATAGGAGATGGATGGAGAATTATTTACCGATTCAGAGCAGAATTGGGCCAGCACATCTGAATCTGACTGGATGAGCGAGAAGGGAAAAGGGAAAGGAAAACAAGGGGGGAAAAGAAAGATGAATCAACAAAACCGTAGCAAGAAGAAAATAGCCAGAAGTAAAAACTCTAGCCTTCCAGGTAAGCATAAAACGATACCTAGAATAAATATTTTTTATATATTGTTCATGTTTTTAATAAGATTCTAAAACCACGTCAAGACAGTTGGCAGCATTGACACCATTTATGAAGTAAGCTGAGGTTCATTAGCAGATCCAATATTACATAACATTTGCCCCTTATAGACCTGAAGAAGATGAATGCTGAATCAGTTATGAAGCAGACTAAGCCAGAATGTGAACTGAAGGAAAACTGCTCAGAAACTGATTTTAATGACGATGACAGAAGGAGAATGAAAGAAAAAATGAAAATGCAAAGATGCTTCAAGCAGAGTAACAACAAGAGGCCATTTTCCCACCAAATATCCAGTGTAAACAGCCAGACCAAGAATAAAAATGACACGGGTAACTAATGCTTTAATACTTTAGTTTTGTTTTCTTCCCAATAATGTCAAACATCTCCTAGACATTTTTTGTTGTTGTTGTTTTATTCTGAAGAGTAATTTTGTACTGTTTTTGTATGATTTTATCCTGAGAAAATATTCTATATTCTATTCTATATGGTTTTTTTTTTAGGGGTAGACGTAACAGATGTCTTTCAAGAAGTCAGAAATAAGAAACAGCTGGCTGTTCGTTGTGGAAAAATGGCAGGTTGTCTGTACAGAATAAAATATGACAATGGTAAGTTTTGGGAGGACAAAAATAATTATTAATTGTATTTATTTTTCACATTGTGAGACAGAAATTAAATTGCAGATGCAGTTTTTAAAGTCAGATTGAAATTAGATTTAACTAATGTAGAGTCACTTAATAAATAAATACACACACACACTACATGTACAAAAGTATTGGGACACTTCACCATTACACTTTGACTTTAATTACATTATTAGTTAGTTGGTCCCCCCTTTGCAGTTATAACAGCTTCAGCTATATCAGAACAACTTTACTGGCAAGGATTTCCACAAAATTTTTGAGTTTTTCTGTGGGAATTTTTGCCCATCCAGTGGAGCAATTGTTAGGTCATTTCATTTCATTTATTTTATTTAATCAGGGACAATGAACATTAATAGTACACAAAATATGTCAAATGCGCCAGATTTAGCCAACACTGGCTAATTTTCATCCATAGTCCCTTTTGGCAGGTTGATGTTAAGGACAGGAAGAAAATATAAACAAAGAATATTAATACACCAAATTAAGAACGAGGAGAAAATATGAAAACAGAAGGAAAAAATAAACTAAGAATATTGAAACACAAAATTACACACTACCATACCATATCCATAAATCACTATAAATGATCACAATTTTGATGGGTCAATAACCATATTTTCAGCTTTTTCTGTTACTTAGTTACTTTTTATGGAAAGTAATGCGTTACGTTACTTTCGCGTTACTTTTTAAATCTGGACAGGGCTTGCTTGTTTGTTTTTAAAATAAAAAAGTTATATTTTTGGCAAATATAAAAGCCTTTTCACACCAAAAGTGAAATGAATAAGCCTCAGGCTGAAGGGAAAGTAAATTTACGTCCGTACAGTAGAATGCAGAAGAAGAGTAATGCATTACTTTACTAGTTACTTGAAAAAAGTAATCTGACTCGCGTTGCTTGTAATGCGTTACCCCCAACACTGCCGACATGTCTATACATCCTGTTATCTGATCTATGTAATCCTTAAAATCAGGTGGAGCAAAACCATTTAAGATCTTAAAAATAAGTACCAAATCAGCAAATTGAATCAAATGTTCCCAACTTAAAATAGAAAACTTAGAAAACAAATGCACAAAATCCTGATTACTCTGCAACTCTCCAGCGAGGTAATCACCCTTCACTTGTTGAGGTGTACCATCCGTAGTAAGTGCCACCGGTGCATTCAAATGAGGTATAGTCGGTCCTGGATTTAGATGTACAATCTCCCGAGAGTAGTACCAGAGTCAACAGGATATATGCAAACATATTCCATCTTTCTTCGATCTGTTTGACGTTCTTTCCTTGTCGTTTTATTCACAGTTTTTGTCAATTTGCCCCTACATGCACATTATAAATTATAAAATGTATAATCCGTCTTTGGTATGGCGTTGATGTGATCAGTCTCTTCCTCCACATGGACGGCTCTGATGTATCATGACACGGCCGCGTCAGGATTATCAGTAGTGCGGCAATGTAGATTACTGTAACCATCCACTGAGACTTTAACATACAGTATATTGTTTATAACTATTTTGATATTCCGTGCTATTTAGCTGATAGTACTTCAAATTCAAGTACTACCCTCCGCCATCTTGGATCTTCTTCATCAGGCACTGATGTTGGACAAGAAGGCCTGGCCTCACAATCTCCGTTACAGTTCATCCCAAAGGTGATGTTGAGGTCAGGGCTACATATGTGCGGGCCATTCAAGTTCTTCCACACCAAACTCATCCATGTTTTTATGGACCTTGCTTTGTGCACTTCGGCACAGTCAAGCCTGGTTTATACTCGCACGAGGGCAAAGGTGTGCTTGGACAAAAAGACGTCATCGTGGAGTGTGTGGCTGTGTGCGTTGAGTGAGTGAGACCCCATTTCACGTGGCGGTGTGCACTGTATTTTTTGTAACTTTGCGCACGGCTCCGCTTCTGAAGATGCACAGCTTCAGGGCGACTCTAACCAAACAGGCACATCTTCACTGGCATCTTTATGAATCGGAAGAAACATGAAGTGGAACAGAAACAGGAAACAGAAAAGAGCCTACCTCAAACTGTTCCCACTAAGTTGGAAGCATAGCATTGTGCAAAATGTTTTGGTACAGTATGCTGAAGCATTAAGTTTCCCTTCACTGGAAATAAGGGGTCTAGGCTAAATGCTGGAAAACAACCCCATGTTTATGCACAACGCTCCTCAGCACATTATCCCTCTTCTACTGAACTTGCAGTTGGGCAAGGTATCCACTAAACCCAGACTCACTCATCAGACTGCCAAACAGAGAAGTGTGATTCCTCACTCCGCAGAACAGGTTTCCTCTGCTCCAGAGTCCAGTGGTGGTGTGCTTTACACCACTCTATCCAACTCTTAGCATTGTACTTGATGATGTGAGGCTTGCATGCAGCTGCTCACCTATGCAAATCCATTCCATAAGCTCCTGCCACAGTTTTTCTGCTGATATTAATACCAGTGGAAGTTTGGAACTCTTCAGTTATGGAATCAACAGAGTGTTGGCGACTTGTATACACCATGATCCTCAGCACTTGACAACCCCGCTCTGTGACTTTAGATGGTCTTTGCTTCGTGCTGCTGCTCCTAAATGCTTCACTTACAGTTGCCAGTGGAATATCTAGCAGGGATGCAATTTCACAAACTGGCTTATTGCAAAGGTGGCATCCTATCACAGTACCACACTTGAATGCACTGAGCTTTTAAGAACCACCCATTTTTTTCACAGATGTTTGTAAATGCATGGCTAAGTGCCAAAGTGTCTCTTTCCCTCTGTCCGTTTTAATAAACCAGAATTTATTATTTAAAATATGTGCACTCTATTTATATGTTCTGTATAATGTTTCTCTGTCTTCAGGAGAGAAGTGTGTTTCATGTAAAGGGAAATGGTTTACGCCCAGACAGTTTGAGGAGTTTGGAGGAAAAGGGCATCACAAGAAGTGGAAGGGTAGCATCTATTACAAGCCATCAAATGGTCGTCAACAAGTTAAATTACTGAAACTCATACAAGTATGTATTCAGCTAGTGTGAAATCTGAGTTTATTTGACATTTTTATAAGCATATGTGAACTTCATCTTATTTAAATGAACTTTCCTTTTTCTCCTAGAATGGGTGTCTTTCAGAGTTTGGACAACTGAGGGAGTCAGTTAGACAGGTATTTAGTATATATAGTACCAATGCATAAGTTATAAGCCCATAGGCCATAAAACATACATGATATTCATATGTTGTAGTTCAGCCTCACAACAATGATTGTATTCTGTGGGTTATGAATCAACTTTAATATTTTTTACTTAGTTTTTTGGCTTTATAGATTACTTTTGAAAATTATCCATTAAGTTACTAATATCATGCTGAGATGTTTTAAAATCACTACCACTGTATTTTACCATAGATGACACAGACAGAGAGAGATGGTGCAAACGCAGTGCAAAATGTAACAAGAAGGAGTGAATTAATTAACTCCTTAAAAGGTTTTCCAGAGTCCTGGAAAAGACTGTTTTCCAAGACTGGAAATACCTGTGTGTGGAATTGAAGAGAAAACAATCCAGCCGGGTGAGTTTGAATCAACATTTTAATTTCAGATTTATTAGTTAGTGATCTCTGTCTCACTATCACACCATCTAGAGTTTATTACCTGTTCTTTAGTTCTCTGATCCCCACCATACTTCCATGAGGTTGTTTTGCACATATTAAGCCAGGTTGCTTAGTCTAGATTGCCAAAGAGCTTTATCTCTCATTGTTAGTGTTTCTGTTTTTTATGTGGTCATCTACAATGACCCTAAAAAGGTTTATGGTTGTTTTCTACCACATACAGACAGTTCTTCAGATGAGTCTGTATCTGTTGCTGAGAGAGTCAAAATGGTGAGATGTTTATTTATTGATCAATTGTAAATTATTAGTTTAATTATTGCTGCATGTGTATTATCCTATTGTGGAGGGTTGAGTTTAGCATATGATGTATCACAATATATTTTTAAGGGATATAAATGGAAATATATAAATTTATATTATTATTATTATTGACAAGATGTCATAACTCACATGACAAATTCTGCTCACATTCTGAGGGAGTCGTTATATAAAAATAACTAAATATATAAAATTAATCCAAATAACTAACTTTATCTTTCACTTTTTCCCTCAGTTACTGAAATATACCCAATTACTGTGCCCAAATATCCTTCATTAACAAATGAAGCATTGCTTTAATCTTATCCTTTTTTTTGGCACAGAACAGGAGAGAATCTGTGATTTTAGCTGAAACTGTCAGTAAAAAGATGACAGAACCGGTAGAATCTACTGCCAGTGCTGGAGGTTAGTGTGCTCTTTTATTTTCTGTCATGTTATTTCTCTTATTTTGAACTTTATGGGTTTGCCATACCATATTTTTATTAGACTATCTTTGGTCACTTTCATATCTCTTGTTTTTGCTTCTCATTAAAGTAAGATTATTTATAGTTGAACAGTAACCTCTGAGCAACCTTTGAAAACTCTTACCAGTGTCTATTACTGAGTGGTACTAATATTTCTTTATTTCCATTGGGTTTTACAATTTCAGACTTTGTCTAATCTCTTATCTCTTTGTCCTTCCCCAAACTAAGATTCATCTGCACCTCCCACTGATGCTACAGAACCTGCAGTATCTCCTGTCGTAGAGGCCAATCAGACCACAGATGAAGCAGCAGCAGCAGCTCAGCTGAACTTCAGTGATTCACCTGCTGAATGGCAGAATCCTGTTGTTTCTGAAGAGACTGAGAAGACAGGCCAGATGCAGCTATTTGAATTTCTGGCAAACCAGTTTAATACCATCAACAACACCCTAAAATCAATTGATTTGTCTTTGAAGAAGCTGGTAGAAAAACAGTCACAAAACACACTGCCTCAATACATCAGTCTAACTCCTGCTGTTATTGAAAATCCCCAGATTCACTCCTCAGTCAAGGAGGAGCAAATCACGGAAGTTTTAAATCACTGAAGTAGACTAAACTTTGACACTGAACAAACTAGGGGTAATACTGAGAAAGCAGAACTGTGATCTGAGAGGTTATGATTAAAAATATATATCTTTACTAGATAATTATTACACAAGTTTGGTTTTAATGTGCAATAGCCAAGAAAATTAACATCTTTTGGTAAAGTCTTTTGCTGTTTTTTTGGCACATGTTTAAAATGTGAAAATCTCAATTTTATTTCATTTCAGTTTTTTTTGTCACATTTTCCAGAAACAAAACAGCATTGAGGTTTCAATCCACTTCATGCAGTTAAAATAATTTATAAAATATAACAGTCATCATAAAGCCATGAAAAATGTTGTCTCTGGGTCAGGTTATTAACTGGCAAATGTACCTATAATCACTTTTGATCACTCATAATCAGCTTTATTAATTAGATCTCATTGCAATGTCTAAAAGATGATAATATCCTGGGACCCTACATAGAATAAGTGGTTTGGAGGATGGATGGATAGGATATTTCTTATCTGAGGATTGCTGTACAACTACTATTTTTCCATTGCAGCAGGCATTGTTTTTCTCAATATGGGATGCAGGTGGCAGTGTTGTACAGAACCTCTGCTTTTCTGTTATTCTTTATAGACCTTTCACTGACAGTGTCCAGGTACCTTAAAAGTAAGATGTGTCATTTCTGTGATTGCAAAAATAAAATAGTTTTAAACAGTCCGACCACACTTTCTGATCTGCTCTGACAAACAGGTAGCCCGTCTAAACATACGCCATTGGATTATACATACCTTCTGTTTAAAAAAAAACAACAATACAGAGCCAGATATTTACACTGTTTTGGAAATTGCCCTAAAATGGGTTATTTATAGCTAGTTGTCTTTACATACTATGTTTCAAGTCATTTTAAATAGTGAAGTAGAAGGTTTGCATCTTTTACGTGTTGTCAATCGGCCTGCAAGTGCAATTGGAGAAACTAGCCCTCATGTGTGAACTTAATTTTACTCTTCCTCATCAGATTTACATCAACTTATTTGTATAACAGTATTTATCCAATAGTAGGAACATACCATACTAACTAGCTAAGTAAAATATCTTGTGGAGAAGTGCTGGTTTAAAAGGGTGGCGTGACATAATTTGTGTTTGTATTAAGTGAATCAAACCACATTTAATTTACTTAACAATATGGTTTTAATTCATTCTCTTTGTCCTTCTCCAAACAAAAGTTGCACTACAGTTTGTGCTTGCAAAGATAATTTGACTGTATACGTTTTTAAAAAAAAAAATTTTGTTTAGTCATTTTGCTTCCATATTGTAAAGTACAGTAAGATATCACGTGTTTTTGTTTTAGAAATATATTGTATCATAAAATACGCCCCGTTGCAAAAACGTTTGAATGCAGATCAGAATGAATATATTAGAATAAAATAAACATTACCTTATTATAATAGTGTACATGTATTATGTGCAAATATCTGTCATTCCCACTGAAGTCTCATCAGTAGGTCACGCATGCGCGCGCTGATAGCTCCGAAGTAACCCTGGAACAGAAGCTGCTCCGGAGCAGGTTATGTTCAGAGAAATGCTATGGCTACTTAAATACCCTAAAAGGTACGTTTTTGGAACCGAAAGCCTTACCTTAAACATAAGCAGCCAGGTATGTCACATAACCTGCTTTATGTTAAATATATATTATGTGTGTGTTAATTTAATTATATGTATTAGTTTTATATTAATGTTCATTTAATTATTTTTAAAAGTAAGTTTTATGTGTGGATTGATGTTACAATTGAAGTGACTCATCAGGAATGCAGAGTTACTATAAGAAGACAGGTGTGGTTAGGTGAAAAACAGATGTTAGGTGAACGTGTATGCTAATATAGCAAAATGTTTGTATTGCATCTGTCTGAGAGGCTCTAATCCGATCTCTTTTTCTGAATATTTCAATACTTTTTCATTTCCAGTTTCTTTTCTTTTATGCAAAGACAAACAAACTTGTCCAAGGAGCAAGTGTCAGTTGTGTTTCTGTGTCTTCAGAGTGTTGTGATAGACGTTACTTCTGGAACACCAGAGTAGAGAATCCAGTCTGACTGGCAGTGTTTCATTTAGTTTCTCTTTAGTGTAGTGGTAGTTTGAAGTGCAGCCAGGTTAATTTCTGTGTTTTACCGGTAAGGTCATCTTTTCCTTCCATTAATTATGCACAGAGATATATATTTTATGACATAGTGAATGTTTATGATGAAAGGCATTTGTGCACATGGTCCTCTCTTAACAGTTTAATAGGAAAATTGCATGGATTTACCTGAATGGTGTAAACTGAAAGAATCATTCATTCTGTTCACAAGTGTGTATCTATTTCGCATCATGCAACCAATTCTGAATATCCACAACTAAATGATGACTGTGCTTTAGATACCCACGGGAGATGGATGGTAAATCATCTATAGATTCAGAGCAGGATTTGGACAGCTCTTCAGGATCTGACTGGATGGGTGAAATGGAAAAAAGTAAAGGAAAACAAGGAGGAAAAAGAAAGATTAGGGAACAAGATGGCAAGGAGAAAGGATCATATTCCAACAAGAAGAAAAAAGCTAGAAGTAAAAGCAGTCCAGGTAAGCATGGGTGGAGCATATACAAAAAAAAAAACTTCAGACAATCAAAGTGTTTTTTTTATAATTCTAAAGACTACATTAAAGCACATCTTTGGCATTTTTATTTAAATAAAGGTGAAGTTGAGGTTAATTTAGCAGAGAATTAAATGTTGACATTTAATGCTGAATTAAATTTTGTATCTTGTGTATGAAAGGGGTGTGATGTGTGTAAAAAACATAAATAAAAAACCAAGGGAAGAACAGGGAAAAATCAATACAAGTCTGATAGCTTGTAATTACAGAATCCTTTCCTTTTTAATGCCTAGACCTGGACGAAATCTTTCAGGAGGCCAGAAATAAGACAAAACTGACTGTCCGTTGTGGAAAAATGACTGGTCTTTTATGCAAAAAAAGGTATGAGAATGGTAAGTTTTGAGATTAAGAAAAATTTTTCTCTCATTGTCAGAAAGAAATTTAAATGCAAATTTAGTTTTAGAAAGACATGTACTGTTTTAATTATATGCTCCCTATTCATATGTTCTTTATGATGTTTCTCTGTCTTAAGGAGAGAAGTGTATTTCATGTAAAGGGAAATGGTTTACGCCCAGTATGTTTGAGGAGCTTGGAGGAAAGGGGAGTAACAAGAAGTGGAAGAGTAGCATCTATTACAAGCCATCAAATGGCCTTCAACAAGTGCAATTAGAGAAACTCATACAGGTATGTACTGTGTGCAGATGGTGTAAGGCTTGAATTTTATTTTATATTTTTCTACATTTTACTGGTCCTCATATGATTTAAGTAAATCTAATTATAATGTAAGTTATTTATCCATCTTAGAATAGGTGTCTGCCACAGTATGGATATCTGAGGAAGTCATCTAGACAGGTATTTCAACTACTGCAAATTAATTAGCAAACGCACAAGCCACAAAACATAAACAATATTCATGTGTTTCATATTAAGCATGAAAATATTGATTCTAATCTATTCGGTACTTGGTTTTCTTTTTAAAGATTCATTTTAACATTAGTATACCGTTGATTAATCATTATGCAAAATTACTCAGATATGTTCATGTTTTTTTTATTTATAGTTGACACAGACAGATAGATGTGGTGCAGACTCATCATCTCAGCAAAATGTGACAAGAAGGAAGACACCTAACCATACAAAACGTAAGAAAATAGCGTCTTTATTACCTCTTTAAGAGGTCTTTGTTCAGTTGAACATATATAGGCTGACTTCTTTACAGGCAAAACATTTAAACATAAAAAAAATTACAATTGGGACTTTTCTACCATTAGATTTCACTGGCAGTAAGGAAAACAATCAAAGAAATAATAATGAAATACCTGTGTGTGGAAATGAAGAGGACACAGTGCCGAAGGGCAGGCCTGGATTAAGAACACATAGGGCCCTGGGGCTATAGCAAACCAAAGTGCCCCACTTCATAGTAGCCTATCTTGGTGCCACAACATTTTCTACAACAGGAATAATTCGTTTTTTAAATTTTTTTTTTTATCAAATCTCCAACATACAGAGATACAATGTGTATGCACACTAAATATTCCATGCTACAACACATTAAAAGAATAAATACATTAACACCAGATATATGAAGTCAAAGCAAACAGGTTTCCAGAAGCAGCAACAACTTTTGAGCATATACAGCTCCCTTAAGGAGTTTAGTTTAAATAGTTTTATTATTAGAAGGTCTTCTTTCTAGCCCTAGAAGAGGAGAATCATCAGGGCTGGACTGGTGCTAAAATTCAGCCCATCTGGCCCACACAGTCCCCCATAAATGTTTTGCTGGAGTTAGGGCAATTGGAATAAATTATTTATTAATAAATAACGGACGAAAACAAATGATATTTTTGAATACCTAAAATGCATTTAACAATATTGATATTTCATTATATTGCAGGCTCTTAATTATTGAATTCATATTTTTCTGCAATTAAAGTTTATTAGAACTATTAAATTGTCCTTTATAGTTGCCCTAATGAAAAGCTAATTCTTGAATCCAGAGTTAACTATAGTATTAGTAAACCTTTATAAAATGGACGTATTGCCTTTATTTGAACCAATATTCAATAGGCTATAAGTATCCTATAACAATTTTCGTGACATTAATAATAAATATCATTAATG